ACTTGGGCCAGTGAAGCAACGTCCTCCACAACTAGACTGAAGAACAAAAGGATAGCAACTTGTCTATTCCCCTTCCCCCTGTTCCCCAATAAAAAAAATATTAAAAAAAAAAATCCCATTAAAAAAAAAAAAAGACTCACTGGGAGTAGAGCAGGAGTTAGTGGGACCTGTTTTCCCATGAGCCCCAACCTGCCCCCTCTATGCCCATGCTAATGCCCACCTTGTTCCCCCAGCATTCGGTGCCATCCTGCAGGGCAGCCTGTTTGGTCTGGCTGGCCTCCTGCCTGCCAGCTACACGGCCCCCATCATGAGTGGCCAGGGCCTGGCAGGCATCTTCGCTTCAGTGGCTATGATCTGTGCCATCGCCAGTAAGTCTTGCTGTCTATCTGCCTGTCACCTTGGTTTTTGCAAGGAGAAGGGGGTGGGCCCTGTCTCATCACTGATACCCTCCACCCCAGGTGGCTCGGAGTTATCAGACAGCGCCTTCGGCTATTTTATCACAGCCTGTGGGGTCATCATTTTGACCATCATCTGTTATCTGTGCCTGCCCCGGCTGGTGAGCAAAAGGAGAAAGGAGGGGTTTTTAGTCTGGGGTTCCAGGGTTCCAGACCAAGGGTGTTCTGAGGCTGAAACCTGGGGGGAGGTAGTGATTCACGAGACCCTGCCCCTGAATCCACCTCCCATCTCCTTCACTTGATAGGAGTTCTACCGCTACTACCAGCAGCTGAAGCTCGAAGGGCCTGGGGAACAGGAAATCAAGTTGGACCTCATTAATAAAGGTCTGACTATCCTGAGGAAGGTGGGGTGGAGGATGGCCTCCCTGGCATGGGGGCAGCTGGGCACAGAGGGTAGGAACCAGGACACTGTTTGCTGGCAGAGATGAGCCAGAGGCCGGATGGACAAGGGGTGGGGTAAGGGAGACAATGGGACATAAGGGTTGGGGGGGGAATAAAGTGGAGGGAGATCTGGATGACCTTTGTCTGAGGGCAGTGGGAAGCAATTTCAGATTCTTGGACAAGATGTACCATGAGCTAAGGCTCCTGGCAGAGGTCAGGACCCAGGGATGGTTGCTATGGGGATTTGGAGGAGGTCTGGGGTAGGTGTTAGGGTGTGGCTGTGTACTGTATAAAGGGATGTCCACCCCCAACTAACCCCAGCCCTTTTGAGAAATGTTTGTGTCATTTCCTGTTGCTCTGTCTTTCTTATAACTTGAATATCCTTCCACAACCTGTCCCCTCCCAGGAGAGGAGCCAAGAGCAGGCAAAGAAAAGTCTGGAGTTTCAGCTCCCAACTCTCAGCCCACCAACCAAAGCCACTCAATCCGAGCCATCCTCAAAAATGTGCGTGGCGCATGGGTGTCCCGCCCTCTATCTCTCACCCTCTTTCTCTCCTCATTGTCCACCTCCGCTCAGCACTGTCCAGTCCATCCCTTTCTGACCTGAGACTGGCCACTCTCCTGGATTCGTGTGTGTCGGTGTCGGAGTCGGTGTCGGGGTGGGGATTCTTGGTTCTTTAATGCACAGACACCCTGATGACATGGGCCTGGGTCCCTTTCCTCCAGATCTTAGTCCCGGCTCTCTCTGTCTGCTTCATCTTCACGGTCACCATTGGGGTGTTTCCCGCTGTGACTGCAGAGGTCAAGTCCAGCATTGCAGGCACCAGCGCCTGGGGTGAGGACACCATGGGTTCCCAGGATGGGGTTGGACAGGGACTAGGGTTGGGGGAGAGGGGACCCTGGGACTCTCCTGGTTCATTGGCCCTTCCTTGGGCTAAAAGCATGTTCTTCAGTTTGCAGCTGGGGAGACTGAGCCCCAGTGAGGGTCAAGTTTGCTAAATCTGCCTCGGGACGTAATAACCATCCCCTAATGTAGTCTTCCTCTTCCAGAAAACTACTTCATTCCTGTGTCCTGTTTCTTGACTTTCAATGTCTTTGACTGGCTGGGCCGGAGCCTCACAGCCATAACCATGTGGGTAAGTGGAAGACAGGCCCCTGTGAGATGGAAGAGCCCACCTTGAGACCCAGAAAGGGCACCAAGAAAGTATGGTGGCAAGGGAACCATGCTTTTTAAAAGACCCCAAGGCATAATCTATGTATAGTAAGGTATACAAGTCTTAAGTGTACAGCTTAATGAACACACACACACACACTCCCCGCATAATCACCCAGGTCTAGATGGAGAACATTGATAGCATTCCAGAAGGTTCCACTCTGCCCCCTCCCAATCAGTACCCCTAAGGATAACCAGGCTTTGAGGTTTCAATTCAGATCCTGACGGGCTCCAAATGGAGCCCTGAGGGCCAGCCCAGACTGAGGCACTGCCTGGTCCCACAGCCTGGGAAGGACAGCCGCTGGCTACCAAGCCTGGTGCTGGCCCGACTGGTGTTTGTGCCCCTGCTGCTGCTGTGCAACGTCCAGCCCCGCCGATACCTGGCTGTGGTCTTTGAGCACGACGCCTGGTTCTTCATCTTCGTGGCTGCCTTCGCCTTCTCCAATGGCTACCTTGCCAGCCTCTGCATGTGCTTCGGGCCCAAGTGAGTAGGGAACTTGGTGGCATCAGGCCACCTCCAGTGGGGAACATGCAGTAGAGGGAGAGAGGGCAAAAGGAGACTCCCTGATACTGGAGCTTAAGGTTCCCAGGCTGAGAGAGGAGACGGCTGGCCGGGGAGGGGCACCTAAGCTGAAGGGATCAGGGTGAGGAGTGAAGGGTGGAATGCCCAGGTTTAATTAGGTGGGGAGGTGGGAGGGGGCTCACAAGTAAGGTGGAGAACAGCACCCAGGACATGTCCCCCCAGGAGGGAAAAGACAGTTTGGGGCTGGGAAAGTAGGATGGGTTGACCAGCAGAAAGAGGCGCTCAGGCAAGTGTCCCCACCCATGATGCTCTGGGTGGGAGCTGGAGTAGGGGTCATCCTAAGGTGGCCTTTTCCTTCCTCCTTTAGGAAAGTGAAGCCGGCTGAGGCGGAGACAGCTGGAGCCATCATGGCCTTCTTTCTGTCTCTGGGCCTGGCACTGGGGGCTGTCTTCTCCTTCCTGTTCCGGGCGATTGTGTGACCATGGACGGATAGAGGACTGCACTGGCCTCCTGCTCCTGCCCCTTCTTCAGGGATGGGCAGGGGTGAGCTGGAGCTTTTCTTTTTTAGCTGACTTGTGCTTTCTCATGACCTGTGCTGGGCCCCGGTGTCCAGGCCCTGAGGACGGAGCCTCTGAGTGGACAATGGGGACATTGTGAGCCTGAGGGTCAGAGTCGAGGAAGGGGACGTATTCATTGCATATGTTCCAATACCCCACACTTGGTTCTTACTGATCCTTGACTGAGCAGGACAGCAGAGGCTCCCAGGCTCAGTGTTGGTGTGTTTGTATGGTCTGTATGTTTGTCTGCCTGGCTAGGGGCCAGGACTGTCTGTTCTAAGGTCCAGTCTGATGTTTCCACACCCCACCCCACCCCCCTCCTCCCCCGTGCCTCTTCCCCTAACTTCTCCCTGTCCCTCCCCTGCTCCTCCTGTCTTGTTCCTACCCATCATGCACCCTGCACAGTTGCCGTTTTACTGCCTTTTTTATACTCCACAGAAACCAGGCACCTTCAGAGGCTGTCTGAGTAAATAAACTTTTTTTGTTTGTTTGTTTGTTTTGTTTTTTCTGCATGGCTCCTTGTGTCCTCCAGCCACACGGCTTCATGCCCAGGAAACAGTAGAGGGATAGCAGCCTGAGTCTGGGGGTGATGAGCATGACCCAGCTGGGTCCTGGCCAGCACTGGGCCTGGGCGAAAGTTTGGGGGGCGGGGGTTGGGAGTTAGTCCTCTTAGCCTCAGAGGGGCTGCAGTGCCCCCTGCTGAGGCCACAGAGGAGGGACAGGCCTGGAGCCAGAACACCCAGACTGTTGGCCATTTGGGGCTGCTTCGTTCTTTTTTCCATAGGACAGGGGATGGAGACAGCACCCCATCTTTCTTTTGTGTTCACTGTCACCCTCTCCACTCTGTCCTCACCCCTCGGTCCCAGCCCTGGGAATGAGCTCTGCAGAACTGGCCAGCTCTCTCCCTACCAGCCTCCCCCAGCCCAGCTCCTGGCTGTACTCCCACACCTCCGGGCAAGAAGAAGCTGCGCCTGAGGGTTCTCTCCTACCTGGCGCTCTGCCCCGACACCAAAGCTCAGACTTCCTGGGGAACAAGGGGCCTATGTGTCCTCTCATTGACGCTGGGCCCTCCCCTTCTCAAACTCTGGCCCAGGGAGAAGTGGGACGGTGTGGGACCATAAGAGTGTCTCAGCGAAGGGGGCCATACCACTGGGTCCCCCTTCTCAAAAATGACTCTTCCTATCAGAAGATGGGACCAGAGCTCTGGCCATTGTGGACCCACCCCCAATACCCCCACCGCACACACCTCACTGACCCTGGCCCTCAGCACATGTCTCACAGTTCCCAGAAGGGCAGGAGGTATTCTCACACAACCCAGATTGCTCACTGATCCCTGACCAGCAGATTGCTACAGAGTTGGCACTCTGTCAGGGCTGCGTTTCTTAGTGTAATTCAGAGGTCGGCAAACTGCTGCTTGCGAGCCACAGGCGGCTCTTTGGGTACGTTCTGTCTCAAAAGTTTGCCGATCCCTGGAAGAGCCAATCCTGTCCCTCACAACAATTTAACAATTATTCGAGAGGCATAAATATATTTTTACATAATCACCATTGTTTGAATAATATCCTGTAAAAATTTTATAAATGAAACTATGATAGTTGTATTTTCATTTTCAATTTTACTTAAGAGCCACATTTCGCAAGCCACAGTTTGCTGACCCCTGGCAGCTCTTCCGTCTCAAAAGCTCGCCGACCCCTGGTCTAATTTAATTGAAGGCTTCAGGCCTCATTCAAGGGTAGTTAGTGTATCATTGTATGGAGAATGAGTTTATGTACTCCATATCAAACCAGAGTACATCTCTGAGGTTGGTGAAAACAGGGTAGTTCCTATGAGGTTCAAAAGTAAGGGGTTCCCTGAGTATTCAGTCTTTGCAGTGCCCTTTGGCAGTGAGTCAGGCTGAGATAAACCTGTGCTCTTCTCTCTCAGTCCTTCCAGACTTCCCCATTATACCCAAACCTGAAAGTCCTATTAGTCAAGGATCCTTCCCCAGGACCATCAACCCTTCAGACACCTTGTGTTTCTTCCCCTGGTTCCTTCACCGGTGGCCTCCTGCCTGGCCTGTCAGGACTCCTGCCCAGGTCTCCTTCAACCCATACCACACACAGCTACAGGATAATCTGGAACCAAATTTAGTCTTATGCTGGTCACCCTCCCTGGAACATGTCTAGCATTTCCAAATCTTCCAACATCAACAGCCAGATTATGCAATTGCTTCCCCCTCTGCACCTTAGAACTTTTGTAACTTGGCTACATATCCTTTATCATGCACTTCTATTCCAGCTACCAGACTCGTGTTTTTCAGGTTAGAGTCTACATTCTATTCATAGGTTGACTCTAAGCTGCAAATGCAGTACCTGGCTCCCAGGGGTACTAAAAAATGTGTTTTCTCCGTGTATCTGCTGGTTCCTCCCACACAGTCTTCACATGCCAGACTCCAGGGGTGTGGTAGCACTCATTTCGCTGCCTGTGCCCATGGGATAGAGGTAGGTGTTAAGTAGGCTCCCTAAGCCCAGCAATGATTTGGAGGAAAAAGCATTTAGTCACTTGTTTCTGTACTTACATTGAAGAAAATTACTAGACTATTTTCCCCAAAGTATTGTCTTAGACTCCTCCCAGAAAGACAGGACGTTTTCTAATGCAAATGACAAAAGTTTGCAATTTCATTTCCATTCTCCTGACCACAGTATTTTCACCTGAATACGGGGAGGAATAGGGGTTAGGAAAAGCAGCATCCAAGTCTCCTGCCTGCCCAACTGCAGTGATGGCTCCAGACCACAAGTGGGCACTCTGCAGGCCATCTGTGGCAGGCAGGCCTCTATTGAGCCTCACCACTTTCCTCCTAGGACTTTGTTTCCTGTGAAGTGGGGAGGTCTGAGCATGAGAATCTGCCAAGTATTCCTGAGTCTGCCATGACTTATGCTGGTCATCACCTTCCTTCCATGTGACATTTCTGCCCAAAGCATCAGTCTGTATATTCAGCTGCTCTCCACCCTGCATTGGCTGCTACTGCAACACAGAAATTCCCTCTAGTTTAATCTGATGTGGTAAATTGTTAGGGCTTTAATTTTTTTTTTCTTTTTTAAGATTTTTTTATTGGGGAATTGGGGGAAGGGGAACAGACAAGTTGCTATCCTTTTGTTCTTCAGTCTAGTTGTGGAGGATGTTGCTTCACTGGCCCAA